GAAAGGGCGGGTCCGGAAACTTCTGGTATGGAAGCTGAATTTTCAAAAATGGTTAGCAAGTCCATTTCCTCACAGAAGCGCAAAGACCTGGTTGCACTGCTGGCGAGACATGCTAAAGTATTTGATTTTGCACGGACGGTGCCTAGGGCTCAGATACCGACCACGCGCGCTCGTCACAAGATCGATACTGGCTCTGCTCATCCTCTCCGACAAAAGCCCTATCGCGTGTCCGTGTCCGAACGCAAAGTTATTGCTGAACAAGTTGGCGAGATGCTAGCCACTGGTGTAATTCAAGAATCGTCAAGTCCGTGGGCTGCACCTGTTATTTTGGTAAAGAAAAAAGACGGGTCCTGGAGGTTCTGTGTTGATTATCGGCGTCTCAATTCTATAACCAAGAAGGACGTGTACCCCCTCCCCCGCATTGATGACGTAATTGACTGCCTTCATTCAGCTTCCTACTCTTCTTCGGTAGACTTGCGATCCGGGTATTGGCAGATTCCCATGGATCCAGTTGATAAAGAGAAGACGGCTTTTGTAACGCCAGACGGTCTATTTGAATTTAATGTTATGCCGTTCGGCTTGTGTAATGCTCCGGCAACATTTGAACGCTATATGGATACCGTCTTGAGAGGCCTTAAATGGGAAATTTGTTTATGTTACCTGGACGATGTGGTTATTTTTGGACGAACTTTTGAAGAACATAATCATCGCCTTGACGTTGTTCTAACATGTTTGGAGAAAGCCGCCTTGACACTGAACTCAAAAAAATGTCGTTTCGGTGAACGGCAAACACTGGTTTTAGGACACCTTGTGGACAAAGCTGGTGTTAGGCCGGACCCGCAGAAAGTGGACGCCGTCAGCAAGTTTAAGCAGCCACAGTCTATCCGCGAGCTACGAAGCTTTCTGGGCCTATGCTCTTATTTTCGCCGCTTTGTACCTAATTTTGCTGAAAAGGCCCAGCCACTGACTGACTTGCTGCGCAAGGACGTCCCTTTCCACTGGACACCAAATTGTGAGTCAGCGTTTAAGCAACTAAAGTTCGCTCTCACTTCCGGGCCAATACTATGCCACTTCGATCCCTCTGCTTCCACGGAAATCCACACCGATGCCAGTGGAGTTGGTCTCGGCGCGGTGCTTATTCAACGACACAACAATGCTGAACACGTCGTCGCCTATGCAAGCCGGTCCCTGAGCAAGGCAGAGCGTAATTATACGGTTACCGAATTGGAGTGCCTCGCCGTCGTTTTCGCCGTACACAAGTTTCGCCCCTACATCTACGGTCGTCGTTTCTCAGTCATCACCGATCATCACTCTCTTTGCTGGTTGGTGAGCCTACGTGATCCATCTGGTCGACTTGCGCGATGGGCCATACGGTTACAAGAATTTGACTTCACGGTCCGCTACAAGAGCGGTAATCGCCACGCAGACGCTGACTGCCTGTCACGGCTTCCTCTACCAACGACCGAGTGTGAAGCTGATAATTTTGACGATTTTATCACAGCTATTGACTCTCATTTTCCTGACATCGCGGCTTTCCGGACAGCACAGCACGAGGATCATTGCTTAGATCACCTGTTTGCCTCCGCGAATGACCCGGCCAGTTCAAGCTCTTTTGTAGTCCATGACGCCGTCCTTTACAAGAAGAATTATTCTGGCCAAGGCGCCCGTCTGCTTCTGGTAGTTCCACGCGCTCTACGTCCCCAAATTTTTCGGTTCTGCCATGACAACGCAACCAGTGGGCACATGGGCTTCGCCAGAACGTTTCATCGCATCCAGCAAAGGTTTTACTGGCCCAAGATGCGACGCGACACAGAAAAATACGTAGCGGGTTGCGAACAATGTCAACGTCACAAGCGTCCCACGACTACATCACCCGGACCTCTCCATCCCGTACCACCTCCTAGCTCTCCCTTCGAGATTGTTGGTGTCGACCTTCTAGGTCCGTTTCCGCGGTCAGCCAGTGCCAATCGATGGGTCATCGTGTGCGTCGACCACCTGACGCGCTACGCAGAAACTGCGGCTATACCTACTGCAACAGCCTTTCACGTGTCGCAGTTTATGCTTCGGCATATCATTCTCCGTCATGGCCCTCCACGAGTCGTCATTAGCGACCGGGGACGTCAGTTCGTCGCTGACGTCGTTGAAGAGATCCTACGCCTGTCTGCCAGCCAATTCCGCCACGCAACCCCGTATCACCCCCAGACGAATGGCCTCGTAGAGCGGACCAACAGGACGCTAACGAACATGTTGTCAATTTATGTTGATGCCAAGCACAAAAACTGGGACGAAGTACTGCCCTATATCACATACGCCTACAACACCGCGAAACACGAGACAACAGGGTACGCGCCCTTTTTCCTGCTCTACGCCCGCTCCCCTCGCAGTTGCCTCGACACCATTCTGCCTTTTACGTTAGATGTGGAAACATCGGTTGCCGAGTCACTATGCCGCGCTGAAGAAGCCCGTCGCGTCGCACGCCTTCGAACCATTGCATCTCAACAGCGCTCCAAGACCCGGTACGACGCCCACCATCACTCCGTTGCCTACACAAAGGGTGACCTGGTGTGGTTGTGGACACCTGTCCGCAAACGTGGTTTATGCCAAAAGTTTCTGGCCCACTACTCCGGACCATTTGTAGTCATTGACCGTCTCAGTGACGTCACATACGTCATCTCCGGCGTCACAAGCAATGGTCGGCGCTCTAGCAAGACACAGCTGACACACGTCGCGCGCCTCAAGCCATATCACCACCAACCTTCCTATTGACTCGCCCAGTGGGCATCGTCTGCGAACGGGGGAAATGACACACCTCGATGGGGGCATGAAGAGGAAGAGGTAGAAGCGGTCTGGCTCACGAGCAGCTCGGTCGCCGGTTTCTGGCTCTGAGCTGTACCGATCTCAACCATTTTCCTGTAAATAAACGCGTTCCTTCGTCACAATATATATATATATATATATATATATATATTGTGATGCAGGGAGCCCCTGTCACCCTTTTACACCATATCTCATTCTCACTCTCTCTCTCTCACAAACATCGCCGCTGTCTTCTCAACGCAGTGGTTGAGACACAAAGTTGGCCGAACCCGGTGGTTCGGGCTCCATCTATTTTCCTCACAGCGCAAGGCGTCACCGAGAGATTTTTCACTGCCTGCTGTGTAGCCGTCTCCCTTCTGACTCTGGCGACACTGAAGAGTGCCCGAATTGCTCCTTCTGCGGGTCGTTGAACCACTTGAACGTTGCCTGAGTGACGCTTGGTGACGAAATAACGAACGAATTTTCTCGAAGGATTATTATCCCTGTTTGACAACTCAATGAAAAATGGCGGATAGGGAAACCGAGGAAAGTATAGAAAACATTATTATACTGTTTTAAGTGCATTTTAGTAATTACTAACTATATGATCTAGATGTGACGAAACAGCTAGCAGTGGATTAAAGCGCAGCTTTCAGTGGGAAGAGACCGAACCCTACGACCTACGGATTTCACGCGCGATCCTCTTAGCAACTGGACCACAGCGACGCTCGACCCCTTGTCCACTTACCGAGTGTTTGCAAGCATACAAACGATGGCACTGCTCGTAACGACGGTGGCGAGTATGGAGCACGCGTGATGTCAAAAGAAACATTATAAAAAAAACGCTGTTATAACTAAGGCATTGCTCATTCACTACGCTTACTTGCGCAGGGTGAATGTAGATGAGAAACAAGAAACAAGCAGTTTGTGTGCTTAGAAAAAAGTGGTTAACGATTGAAAGCACTTAGTGCTGTACTATGGGAGAGCAACGTCACCCTAAGAAATGTTCGATGACTCGGCCCTGGATATGGCTCAGCCAGAACGATGTTTAGTTAAAAAACAAACATTGTCATGCCCGTGTACGAGAAACTGGCCGGTTGTCACCCAATACTTTGCCTTCCACCACAGTTAATACGTGAACAAAATCAACCTTTTGTAAAAGGTTGGATCATTCGACGACCTATTCGTTGCGTAATTCACATTATCGGACACCTGGTTGCTCCTTCGCTGTGCTACAGTGCTTTATTACTCAAGTCAACGTGAATCCTTTCCCGACATCAAGCCGTCTTGGGGTCAATTTGTAAGGGAGTTGCATGCACCGGCGTGGCTTGATGTAGAATACTGGGCTGACACGCAGGGAACCGGCGTTCAATTCCCGTTGTATCCTTGGTATTTGTGTTTGCTTACTTGTTTTTTATTTCGTGCGATAGTGGTTACGGACACCGGCGGCGGCGGCGGGCAACTACGGTGCGCACGTGTCCCATTTTGTGATATAATAACAGCTTTTTGTGGAAAAAGACGTCGGGGTGGAAAAAAAAGATGTTGTCGCCAATAAGGTATTTCCATACGTTAAATTTTTCATACAAGCTACACATCTTGCTCACGATTTTTCGAAACTCGCGCCTATAGAATTGATATAAGAAAAGCCCACAACTTTTTAAATTGAGATTAACACGTTCCCTTTCTTTTTTTCACGTGATCCGCCTCGAACCACTCTTAAATTTAAGCCCACCAGCGTCAGCAATCGCAGAGAAGCCACAAACTTGAAGCAGATATCAAGTAGCAATTACGTACCAAATATTTTCAAGGAACACATCAGTGGAACACAAACCACAGCTGTACTAAACGTCAACCCCCATATTTACGAACAAAGTCTACGTGTATCAATAACACCTGGCTTGAACGAGTTCATACGCAGAGAAATGCAGCGTGACTCAGACGAAGGCAGGAAACATACAGAAAGTACCCAGGTTGACACAGATACAGATCGGCATAGGCACGGACAGAAAAAGGTAGACAGACACAGATAGACACGTCTACACAGACATAGATATACAGACGCATATAGATAGACACAGAGATAGGCGCAGACGAATGCCATTCGTCATCGTTTATCTGTGTCAAATAGTTGTCTGAATCACGATGAATTTTTCTGTGTGCTTGAATTCGGTGGCTAACCGATTCTTGAAATTTCTGTTGTGTTTACAGGATTGAGCAACTATAAGAAGAAGAAGAGCTGACGTCAAAGCCAACGGCAAAATGGTAAGAAGGGGTCATCTATTGCAAGTAAGTTTGAAATTCGGACGCGATACTAAAGCAAATCGTACGAGAAAAAATGCCCTTCTAAACAAGATGAATGCCCTCTCTGTCGCACAGGGTAGTCCTTCCGTGCCACTAGTGATAGCTACAGGCCTCGAATCAGGAATGATGAACAATCGCAAAAATAGAGAAAAATTTGCGCGAAGCCCTGAAAAAAAATGTAAGCAAGCAAAAAAAAAAACAAGTATAGGTTCAGACAACGTAGATTTGAATTTTCGAAAGGGCTGAAAAAAAAAACGCGTGGAAAGATATCTTGCCATCCATTTCCATTTGCCTGCTCTCTGAGCGTGAGTGTCAAAGCTCGAGTCGTTCACGGCCTTACACATGCACGCTACGGTAAATTTCTTCCATAAAACTCTGTGAACACGCTATGCCCTTGTATTGTTTGTATGGTATTATCATTGGATGCCACCCGGTAAGCGAACATGATTTTTTATTTGATGTCAAAATCCTGCGAATATTGGCTACGACACTAGGCGGCATACTTAAAAAAAACGCTGCATCATGATTATTGTTTCTTCATCAGTAATGACAAGGCGGAAGCTTTCCCAAGATTGCAGCCCCGCCGCGGTGGTCTAGTGGCTAAGGTACTCGGCTGCTGACCCGCAGGGCGCGGGTTCGAATCCCGGCTGCGGCGGCTGCATTTCCGATGGAGGCGGAAATGTTGTAGGCCCGTGTGCTCAGATTTGGGTGCACGTTAAAGAACCCCAGGTGGTCTAAATTTCCGGAGCCCTCCACTACGGCGTCTCTCATAATCATATAGTGGTTTTGGGACGTTAAACCCCACATATCAATCAATCAATCCCAAGATTGCAAAGAACCGTTAGGAGGAAAAAGAACAAATTAAGATTGAAGTAACACACTAGGCCCACTGAGTACGAAATGGTACGGTGGCTAGACTACATTGAACTTAGCTTGAATTTTCCGCACAGACGACATGTGGCTGTTTTTGTTCAGGTCTTTCCCGTCAGTATTTTTACTTTTTGAACTTTCAGAAGCTGGTATGTACATGCTCAGGCTTTGTAATGGAGCCTAACTTGCAATTTATTGCTTCTATTGTATTCATTCACATATGTGGTCTGTTCTTTTCTCTTCTTTGTTTTTCGGCACTATCATGTCTTTGAAATGGTGAACTTCCAACACGCCCAAGCTTCTTCTCTTCTGATTCATTATTCAGGTCACAGCGACAACTAGAACGGTGTTCAGATGCGGCTAAACGTCAAGATATATGTCGGGGCAACGAACTTTCACTTCTGGTTGAGTGTGAACAGCTCGCTTCATTTCGTTAACCACTCCTCCCGTTTAAATGGCTCGCGTTGTTCAACATGAACCGATTCTTTTTTACATTTCCTATTTACTCTAAACAGTCTAAGCTATGGTAACATTGAAGCTAGTAAGATAAACGGTCTAGTGTTTCGTAACCTGGTCGTTTTCCCCGAATGGTTTGTCTTGTAAAACAGGGCACCCTTTAAAGTTTATTTTTGTGCTCAAGCTTCGGAACCATTTACTGAACGTAAATGCTTTCTCCTGGGCTGCATAAAAAGAAGAAACTTCGCATTGCGTCTCTATTTTGTTAAACGAGTATTTATGGCACACTCTGTGGATTTCTTTAACTGCACGTTGACTACAGGTTTCCCTTGTATTTTGTTCTCTATTTGCTATTTTGCTATAAATCGCCATAGTGAGGTATATTTTGTTTGTACTGTTTTAATCCAAGTGATTTATTAGTTTTTAGTTGCTTTTCCTCTATCTCTGGCAGCAATAAAACACTTGTATTTTATTCACGTTATTATAGTAAGCCATTTAACTAAAAGTAATAGAAAGGAATAAATGCTTATAAACCTTAAACGTTAAGGCACACGTGGACGGTATTCTTTTTTTTTAAGTATTTTCCAAAATGAGCAAGCCTACTTCAGAATTGATACGCTTGCAAACACGTACCATTTTAGCTATTTAAAAAAAAAGCTACCACAGTGTTTCGAAGCTCCAATTACCAGGTGTTATAAATGACACGAAAAGAATATTGCGGGAACTTAAAATTGAAGACAAATGCTCGTCCAGTAACGCAACTGTGACGTCGTACTTGTCGCTGAATATCTTCAGGAAAATGTAATACGCTACAACAGAGACATCACCAACACGTTTTCTTTTAACATATCCTGTTTTACAGATATCTACGTGTCACCAAATTAGCTAAAATATTTCTTGTCAAGTTGGTCCAATAATAATAGTAAGAGACTATGAGCTACTGTTTTCTGCTAGTTCTAACAGTCATCGGGTATGACTCTCTTTGGTGAGGCACATCAGCGCTCGGCTGTCTCGTGACTATTCGACGAGAGGAGTAAATTAAACTCCGGATAGAGTACACCTGTCCCTTTAAAGGGAGTCTGCATGTCTCCATAAAAGGGAGTCACATGCGCTGGTACCGAGAAGACCCGCAAAAAGAGATAAATCTTTTTTTTTAGTGCGCAGAGAGATCTGAAATACCCTTGAACATAAAGGTTGGCTATAAAGGTTTGGCTATAAAGGTTTTTTGTTATTTTTTGTAGCTGGAGTTGCGATGAACACAAAAGAGAAAGAAACCGAAAAGAGGAGAAACGTGAAATGTATGAATAAAAATTAAAAAAATGGTAATTAGGACATCATGTCGAAAAATCAAGTGGCTGAAGATGGCAGGAGGATGACGCGAGGAAGAAAGATCGACGAAGGTTGGAGGATCTGGAAAGACTAAGAACATAAGACATGAAAAGGAAGCACAAAAGAAGCGCAGATGTGAGCTTGTTCTTGATTACATTTAAGCTGGATTTTAAAGATTTCCGTAGTGAGCTTGTAATAATTTTCTTAGTTGTAATGCTAAGAAAACATGTCCGCTTTGTGAGGAAAAGTTCTAATGAGATGCCAGCAGCAGATCTCGAGAGAGTCTAGAAGTCAAGGAAACTTCCAAGAACTTTGTGCACCAATATGCACGAGGTAAGAAAAGCGAAAAGCAGTCGTTCACATTGTTACATCCGTACGCCAAAGACGCCAAACAGAGAGTCAGGGTGCAAAAGACGGATGAGGGGATGCTGAAAGACGTCTTCTTTCTGAAGACGATAGTCTTACTTCAGTTAACTCCATCATGATCTGGTGGCTGCGTTCATACTTGCGAACATTGTCAATCAAAAAGCATATATTGCTCACACTCGAGTCGCAACACCAGTACGTTAGTGTTTGGCAGTGTGTCTTTTTATTTTGAAATTTTATAGATACATAATTTTAGATACTAAATTGTTCATTACGCTGCGCAGACAATGCCACGCTATGAGCAGAAAAACGGGTGTTTCCTGCGCTTCGAAAAAAAAAAAAAATCAGCGACTTTAAATATAACGACCTGGTGCTGTCACCTATCAGTGGCGCTGCGTCCTAAAAAAATGCGTTTCTTAACATTACTTCCTGATGACGCCACATGTCAAGCAGCGCCTCCAGACAGAAGACTAACGTCTTTTGAAATTTTTCTTGAACAGTTGTAGCCATCCTTTTTTTTAAGACATCACTAGCGTTTTTATTTAAAACACACATGTCCGATACGACAGATGCGTGTTTGACTATTTATGTACAGTGAAGAGCTTGTCAATTGTCCATGTAAACGAGACGTAGTCTAAGAAATAAAAACACACACTGGAAACCTTTGAGCACTACCAATTACGCTACTCACACTTGACTCGACCATTCATCATGATGCCACTGAAATTTTTACTATGGTCTGTCCGTAAAACTCAATTACATAAACTTTTTATCCCACCCTGAAGTATCATAAAAACTTGTAGGACTCTGAAGCTTTTCTTTGAATTCAAGAGCAGAAAGTGATAGCGAACAGATGTTGCTACGAAGCGCTGTCGGAAATGAAGAGGAAGATGGCAAAGAGGAAGACAATGCTCGCCTATATACGCCTGTATATAAAGTACATCATTTTTTTTCATAAATATTCAGTATTGAAAACGTCGAACTCATGTAATCAGTTCTTGGCCGATCCCCGTAAATGAATACGAGCCATATTTAACCCATATATGCCCAAACTTCAGAAAATTTACGAAAATAATTTATTCCACAAAATGATTGCTTCTACGACCCCATAAAACAAAATAATGCTTTCGTTAAAAAAAACGTTTGAACAATCATTTTGGAGCCGTCCTGTATGTAAGACACCAATGTCTGACACATTGCAAAGAAAAAAAAAACATTAGCGCCCATCACTGCCACACAAAAAGTTACTGCACACCCAATAATTGACGAACAATCCACAAAAAATTCAGCAGTATAAAGAACAATTTGACTCTATATTATTTTTTGCGGTATGGGGCTCAGCTGCATGCACGTGAAATGGCCATTTTATGACTGCAAACATGCGAATAGCACGAGGAATACAAGGATACAATGGAATATTCCACACCGTGCCTCGGCCAGCCAGGCCTGCCACGCCACAACAAACCACCGCTAACCGCACCGTCGTCCTGACACAACCACGCGTCCCAGGCACCTTTTCCGGCACTGACGACAAAAAGATATCGAGGATTGGCTTCAGCTCTATGTATGGGTGAACGCACTGTACAACCGGGAACCGACGCCCATGCTGGCCAACATCCTCTTTTACCTTGAGGGAACGGCCAAAGTTTGGTTTTGCAACCACGAGCGAGAGATAACGAGCTGGAATGTTTGCAAGCACAAACTCTTGATCTATTCGGCCAGCCCATTGGGTGACGTTGCGCTGCACAGAAGAAACTCGTGTGCTGACTCCAAACCTGCACCGAGTCATACATGACATATATTCAAAATGTGCTCGCGCGCTGCTGCAAGGTTGTCGACAAAATGCCAGAACTCGAAAAGGTCCCACACATACTCAAAGGAATTGCAGATGATGCTTTTTACTCTCCTGGTATTCGGGAACTCGACGACAGTCGACGACG